GTTCAGTTTATGGTTCAAGATTGATCTTTGAAAATATGATTTTCTAAATAGGGAATACGATTCCCAGTTGAAGGAAGATATAAACTTTTTTTGAAATTCGCCCCTTATTCCGCAATCTTTGGGCGTCCATAGGATGGATCTCTCATCCCCTTCAAAGAGATGCAATGACTTATATACAAGGATTGACCCACGACCTAATGTCTTTAGCTTCTAAGTTAAATGTGGTATCCAATTCTTGTATATTAGTCCTACACACATTTACAAACTCTGAAAATTTAACAACTCCCTTTATTGCACAATGGTAGTATTAGAACTAATGGTTGTAAATTTTTTATGAATGCATATAGTGATTCACATGGCTTTGTTTGTTTCTCCATAGTCAATTAGTTGGCAAGGGCAGTTAATTTCACCATGTTGACTCTACCAATGGTGAACGTGCTCCAATAATTGAGCAATTGGTAATTCCCATGGCATAACCCACTCGTTGATGATTCTTTGTTCGACTGTTGGCGACTATACGAGGCTCTTGGTTAATGTATGTCAAACTTGGTGATATAACGACTTCCATTCGAGGTGGAATACCTAATGTGGAAAGCGACTCATATGTGAGGAGATTGTTGGAATCATGTCTGAGTATATGAAGAAAAAATCCCACATTTGAAAAAGACGAGGGATACAAGGGACTTATATCCAAGATTGGCTAACAACCTAATGGCTTAAACTTTTGAATTATTGGTGGTGTCCAACATGCCACACACCAAATAGTAGTGCATATCAGCCTTGTTGAAGTGAGAGCATGTTTTTATTTTTAGAAACATTTTTTGCATTGGTTTTAGAAACAAAGTTATCTTTATGAATCAAATTGGAAACACTTCCACTTTGTGTTGGAAAAACTTGCCTAAGATTTTATTTTTGTTTCTTTTTGGTCTTTTGATGATATAGCATATTTAATAGAAATAAAAACAAAATCATTCATGTTGGAGAACCCCCCCCCTCCCTACTTTTCATTTCTAAAATCTTGGTAACCCGTCCAATTTTCTTGTGCAAGTGTCCATGTGTGAAGATAGGGGAAAAATTCAAGTACATAGTTGGATGATATTCTTAATGTTGATGGGAAACTGAGTACTCCATATTTGTTGATTTTATGAACAGGCCGGATCTATTGCTGGATCTCCAATAGGAACACACCTTTGAATGCTGTCTAACTATAGACTGCTACATGAACACAATGTATGGTATGTATTTACAAGCTCGAAGGTGCATTCCTATTAGAACCGGCCTGCTATAGGTAACCAGAAAATCCTTATCTCTAATTCTTGCCAATGTTGAAAGTGATGATTCCCATTTAAAAGTTCAAATCTCCTGCAAGCATGGCTTCTCAAATCACCACAAACCAATGATTTCAACTATGATGTCAGAAAGACATGGTACCGGAACTTATAACCAATCAACTGGCATCATAGAAGTGGTAACCAATCAGATAGATTTCCTTCAAAATTCCTGGGGGTTTTGATTGGTCCAAGCCTTTCCATTATCATAGATTTTCCTGGTATTTATCATGCTAGTATTGGTCTGTAGCAGTTGTTAGTCAACTATTACAAACTGTTCACAACTGCTATAAACCATTACAAACCCATATTTAACATGTTACAAAATTGTTGCTGAAGACGGGTACTCGACTGTTACAAACTCATATTCAACTATTACATGTACCCAAATTTTACACAACTGTTTCGAATCCATACTCAATTGTTACAATCCATTACAAACCATACTTCAACTGTTATAAACTGTTGCAAACCCATACTATTACAACCCATTATTAATCCACACTCAACCACTGCAAACTATTACAATTACAAACAATACTCAATCATTACTCCATACTTAATCATTTCAAATTAACATGTGATTGATACAAACTACAAACCATGCTCAACCATTGCTTCTAGGACAAAACAAACGAGTCTTGGATTGAACATGCATTGTGGTAGAGTGTCATGTTCGAATTCCCCTTTTAGACCTATAGTGGACAACTAAAAATCAAGCAATTGATAGAGCATATTGAATTCTACATATTACTTTTCTTAGGTGGGTTTTGACAATATATATATATATATTTATCATTAAGTGGATCCACAAAAGACCAAATGTTATGCATAGATAATACATTAGACATACATTAATTTAGATTGGATTGGATTGGTCTAATATTCATTTTATTGAAAATGGGGTTAGATTGGATTTCCATAATTTGGATTTTGATTGGAATTATTGGATTCTTATCGGATTGGAATGGATCCAATTAATTATGAATACAATATCAAGGTCATCTTAGCTAATTTTATTAATAATATATAATATTTTTTAATCTTAATTTAATTTATTAACGTTAGTTATTTAATATATGATTTCGATTCAAATTCGATTTGGCCGAATCTGATATAAATCCAATGGGTAAGATTTGATTTACATCCAAAATTTAACAATTCAAATTTGGATCTAGATATGTGTGATTCATCTGATCCGTCATAGGCTGGGTATATCAAGGTTGATAGAAATCATAGAACCCATCCCTGTCCCCACAAAAATCTCTGTCCCTGTCTCCATTCCCATCCTCATTGGTGGGGACAAGGTTATCCCCATCACCGTTCCCATGGGGTCCTCACTCATTGTGATTTTTTTATGATGTCAATCATTTTGTTTTTATGTTCTATTTTATTTAAAAATTAAAATATAAAATAGTTAAAATTTATAATCTTATTAAAAAAAAGATCAAAATATATTCAACATATATATTCTTAAAAATATTAATATACATACATGCATACATATATAGATACATATATACATACAAGACGGGATCCCATGGTACCCTCAATCCCCACCCATCCCTGCCAATGGGGTTGAAAATTTTTTCATCCCTGTCCTCATGGGGAAAAAATCATTCCCATTCTCGTCCCATTCAGGGTAGGTCCCCACAGAGATCGGGGAAATGAGGAAAATTACCATCCCTACTCAATCCTGATGTAAGTGGTGAACTATTTTTGTATGTTATACTGATGTAACTATGCCGAATCGTTTTCTCCCTGCAGTTACATGCAACCATAAATGAGTTATTGGTTATAAGTTACAGGAGATTACTTCACTTGCATTTTCTGCATTGATATAGTATGTTATGGCAGGGAAACTGCAGTTGACTTCCCTTAATACACCAAGAGAGAGAGAAGGAAGAAATGAAAAGAAAAGCAAATGATAAGGAAGAAAAAAGGAAATTCCAACCAAACAACCAAATGTCTAAGCAATAAGCATTGCCTCAATAACTTTTTTATTACTCTGTCTATAGGTTGGTATATTGTCAATCTTAAGTTGGCCGGCCGGCCGGATTGGGCCCGCCGTGAACAAAGTTGTTGAAACTGGACAACTTTTTCTCTTTTTCGTCTTCTTTCTCCTCCAAAACTTTTTTGTTTTGGGTGGTGCCTAAGGCCAACAACGCCAAAGCTCCATGCAATTATAGCACTTAATTAACTACCAGGCATCTAAAATCCTTACACCATAAAAGCATAAAACATACAAATTAAAGCTAAATAGCATTTCTTTTGTAGTCATACGTACAGTTATAAAACCTTGTTGAACAATAAATTCAACTTATTTAATTTAGATGATTCTTACAACACCTTTCCTTAATGGGTTACAGCTCAAGTTGGTCGAACCACTTGGCTTGAGCCATACCACTCTTAGGAACCATGCGCTCGAACCAACTGGACCTTTCTTTCTTTACTCAAATCCTTATCTCTTAAATGTTATTGACCAAACCCAATAAACAAATGACACAATACAGAGTTGCAGACAGACGTTTCATCCCACGAGTTCTTGCTCCCTAAGCCTTCAATAAAATAATAATGTTCATGCCTTCATGGGCATGATGAGAAAGAATATGTCAAAGAACAAAAGTGTTGTGTATACAAGGAACCTTAACTAGGAAGGAAATATACGATCATCCATTTCATATTATTATTATTATTATTATACCTAACTTTTTAGAGTTAAGGATATATATATAAGAGAGGCGACAGTCATCTTCATCAAAGTCTTTATATTGTTTTTTTGTTATATTAAAGAGATTCTCATTTCTCACAATCTCATGTCATCTTTGCCGTTCTGCCACACACGTGGCAGACATCCAAATGAGTTGGGAACATCAAGCACCTCATCCACTGGAAAAGAATTTTGGGTTGGAGAGGTTAATAAAATTGTGGGTTGAAGTTGAAGAATTCTCTGCTTGAGATAATGAGGAGATTAAAAGTCTTTATCTCTTGATCCAATAATTAATCATCATTCATCATCCAATCTTGACATTTTTGGTTTACTTCCAGGCCTTGTAGCTCATTTAAATAGTTTGAAATGAACCTGAGTATTATATTAATTGTTGGTGGTCTTCTGAACAGGTGATCAAATCTGATGTATAATATAAAATTGCGAAGAACCCTTTTGATATGGACCACTCCTAATTACTTGTTTGGTCATGCCTCTAGAAGAAATCAATCAATAGAAACCAAACCATCATATGTGGTACCATGCTGTACGTGTGTATGTATGTGTGCCTGTGAATGGTTTGTGGAGAGAATCTAGTCTTAACTCTTAATAATTTGAGCAAAAACCAAGCCTTAGTTTGGTTCTCTATGATTGTATTTGACACGAGTATCTTTGTCACTACTCCAAGTAGTGGAGGGTGTTGTAGAAATCATACTTAATAAGGACATATGCTTGTGCTGTTATGTCCTTTCTAAATCAATTATCTTTGTTGATTGAGAAGGGTTAAGTCCATCAGGGAAGGATAAAATTTCCATCCTTTTTGGGGTTTAGACAATAACAGGTGTCATTTAGCAAGACCCACGATTGTCCTGATCACGGAATTACAAAAATAATTTTAATTTTTTGTCACGTGCATAAAAGACCTTTGTATTGATATTGACCATAAGAAGAAGTGATTTGTCGCAAGTTGAAGGGACTAAGAGTAGTAGTAGACCAAAAACGATATGGGTTGAAGTAATAAAAAGATGATTTAAGCACTAATAATTTAACAATGGGTATTAGCATAACAGGATTCATGTAACCCAACTTCATATAGTTTGGATAAAGTTTGTATGATGATGATGATGATGATAATGAATCACAATAATTTAAGAATGAGAGTAGGGATGGCAATTTCTCCCGTAAAACTGGGCCCCCGCCCTGTCTCGAATGGGGTGGGGATGGGGAAAATAAATTTTCGCCAAACTAGGTATGGGTTGGGGTGAGTTTTGTATATAATTCCCCAAACCCGAAGGTAAATTAGTAAAATATATATAGGTTTAATATTGATATTTAAAATATCTCTAAGTTTCCCCTAAATTTTTAGAATCCTAGGATCTCATAATTTTATTTTTGAATTATCCCTAAAGTATTATAATTCAATTCTAAAATACCCCAAATTCCTATATCCTATGTATAAATTGTCCATAAAATAGATATTTTTTAAGTAATTGCCTTGGAGCCGGAAAAATTCGGGGATTCCTTGTCCCCGATGGGCAATGGATGCCTCACCCCACCACTGGGGATGGGGCAGGTATGGGGCACGGTATCGTAACTTCAGGGTGGGGACGGAGAGGGGGTGCCCTGCCCCATTGCCATTCCTAAATGAGAGCAAGGGAATAAAAATGACTTGTAGAAAATATTGCAAACAAAGCCATTTGCACAAGAGCTATAAATATTTTGATGCTTTGGACATCTAGGCTACGGTGTTTGATAATTACTGGAAAAGTAACTGAAAGCAGAATGCTGAAAATATTTCAAATTTGAGAATGTGTTATGTTATAATTTCAGCCAACGTTTTAAAAAATGACTCAGAAATAGAACCATTTTGGCCACCGGTTTTTGGGTTGGTGGTCCCACTGTCTGATTCGAATGGATGGCTCGTTCTGACAAATAAATTAAAAAATAAAAAATAATTAAAAATAAAAAAGTCAAAAACCGTTAAATGGATCAATAGTTTGATTGCCTGTATCAATGGATTATTGACTTTTTCAACGGTTTTTGACCAAAAATCAAATTTTGGGTAAAACGAAACCAGTTGCCTGAACTATTCCTGAGCCGAACCACTCAACCATCTGGGTCAACGGTGGTTCAAAAATCTTGATTTCAGCAACTCATATTGCTGAATATGATGACACAGGAAATGGTGTGATTATTTTATCCCTGAAAAGTTTATCATATGCAAATAATATCTCTGGATTTAAGCCTACTGTAAGATCAATTATTTTTCTCATTTTTCTCGAGGACAGCCACAGATGCAACGAGAGATTGAGGTTGTGGGTCATAGGCTGGAAAAAAAATGTTGCATGGCAAATAACTATCAAGTTTAGCTAATTCATTCTTTATAAAAGAAACACCAGAAAAATATTTTGATCTAAAAAAATTTAGGGGTTTTTATAGGTCAGTCCACTCCTAGAAATCTAGAGCTCCACTCTAGGGGTGGACTAAATCCTGAACATCAAATCCACGGGCAGGGTGCGTTTTATAGGGGGAGTACTAGTAGATTAGGAAGGGGTTGCAATTCAGATTTTTGAGGGGTATTACAGTCCAAAAACCCAAAATTTATTAGATCAAGTTTACGAGTCTAGATCACCTGTCAACAAAACACATTCGTACTCTTTACCAACATGATCTCACACCACACATCCCATACATGATGGGTCCTACTTTTATGATGGGTTCCAGTCTTATGGTGAGATGTGCGGTATTAGATCAAGTTGGTAGAGGATTAGAACATATTTTGTTGGAAGAAGATCCCAACTCCAAATTTACTGGTTTGACCAAGGTTGTTAAAACCGACTTGGAGAACGAACTAGTTAGGGGTCCAGTTCCTGGGTTGAATGGTTCGACTGTTCGAACCAAATGATCCGCCCGTTCTGATAAAAAATAAAAAATGGTCAAAAACATTGAACGGTTCAACTGCCTGGGTCAGCGGTTTACTGACCAAATCAACGTTTTTTTTTGCAAATATCCAGTTTTGGAGAAAAATGGATGACCGGTTTCCGATTTTTTGGTCTGACCGTCTAATCTGGTATGGTTTTGAAAACCATGGGTTCGACCATCTCTAATTGATCTGGAGCCGACAATGTTAAGTGGTTGGATGAAAAAATTCCACCTTTTAAAATGGCTCAAGTCCAGAGGTTTTGTGTGTATATGATAAAATTTTAAGGGGTAAAATTATGGTTTTCAAAACCCAACCGGATCGGATGGTTGGACCAAAAAAACCAAGAATCGGTCACCTGACTGGTTTTGTTTTATCTAAAACTGGCATTTTGGCAAAAAACTGTTGATTTGACAGTCAAACCATTCGAACCATCTAATGATTTTTGGCCGCTTTTTTATTTTTTTTTAATTTTTTATCTGAATAAACCATCCATTTGATTCAAACGGTTGGATCATTTGATCTGAGATTCATTATCAGATTCGGTTATAAAAACCTTGGATAAAATAATCACACCATTTCCAGGACAGCCACAAATATTGCAAGTGAGAGAGGAGTGATTGTGGGTTAGACTGTCGTGTAGAAAAATGGTTGGTCCCACAGCTCGGCAAACAACCAGTACATGGGGTTGTCACGGTGAGCTTTTTTTATCTAGGTCTAACAACACTTGTAGGTAGGGCCCAAAACATTCCAACAGTCCTATTAAAATCATATTTATCTGTTAGACCGATCAAGGTTAATTTGATCTTTGGTTATCATTTTAGGCAGGCATAAAAGCCAATTGGGTAAGGTGTTAATCTAGTAGTCTAGTTTTAAACCATGGGCTCCTTGTGATATGTTCCTATTAGGGTTGCACTTTAATTTATTGCTTCCCCAAAAACTGCATGTGTGTTAATGAGCAAATGCTTTTACTTGTGACATTCCTAATAGAAACAGTTTCCTTTTGAAAATGGAAAATCAACTTTACAAGATTTTGATCATAACTTATTAGAACTCTCCAATTATGTGTGTAGTGTGGAATGGGTGGAAAACAAGCTCCTTTCCCTTAACGAACGGCAGGAAAAAACACAAATGGCCCATTTGGTTCGTAGAAATAGAGGTTTGGAATCGAAATCGAAATGGGTCATTTCAATTTTAATTGTTTGATTGGGTAGAATTAGAATTCCATTTATATTCATGGTGGAATGGCCATTCCTCTCTCACCTTTTTTAAGAATGAAGTTTCATTCCAGCTGATTTTAATTGTCCTTCTGATTTCTGAATGAATCAAACAGACTATAAAAATAGACCATTTCAATTTCAACTATGAACCACGTAGCTAGAAGGCATTGAAAGTCAGTTTTACAAGTTTTTTTTTTCTTTTTTTTTTCAATACTATTTGACTGGAATTCTCTTAATTAGGTAGCTTTGCTAAGTGGGGTTCAAGTCCAAGAGAATTGAAGGCTAGAATCCAACGGATTCAGTTCAAGGACCCCATCGCTTCACATCTTTAAGAAAAGAGAAGGAAAAAAGCAAAAGAAAATAAATGATTGAGGACCATTCTTGTAATTATAGCACAATCAATGGGTTATGTATGTCCACAAAGCCGGTTCAATTATTTTGCCACCCACCAGCACCTGATTCGTCGGTTTTCTCTGTTCTTGTATGCTGTATCGATCCCTCCAAAACCCCTATAAAACCCCTCCCTCACTTCCAACTTCCCAAAATAAAAAACTCAGGCAAGCAGAAAACAAAAGAACACAATAAGAACAGAACTTTCCTCCACCCTCTGAAAATTTCTTTCTGAGAATGGAGAGATCACTGCTAGATTTAGAGAAGCCAATTAAACCCAACTTCACTGACATCCGCCGGAAAGCAAAGAGCATCTCACTGTCAGCCTTTTTCTTCTTCATCTCTGTCTATCTCTTCCTTTCTCATCCCTCCCCTTCTGCTCTCCTCAATGACACCAGATTCTGGTTTTTTCTGTCTAATGCCATCATCCTCATCATTGCCACTGACTCCGGCGCCTTCTCTTCCTCCAAACACAAGTATGATCTCTATGACGAATACTTGAGAAACAGCAGAGCCAGGAGAGCTTCTTCCTTCATATCTCAGCCACCTGAGAGCGAGAACGCTGTGAAAGGCGATACGGGAAAGAAACAGGAAATTTGCTTAGAAAGCGAAGTTGTGTCTGAAAGTGAAACCCCTGAGATGTCAAAAGGAGAAACTCCGGAAGTCGACAGAGTGGTTGTTGCTGATGTCGAAACTCCTTGTGAAACGAAGAACATCAAGCGGAGGTATTACAGAAGTAAATCAGAAAAAGTGCTCTCTCTGGTGGGTAATGAGCGTAGGAGAAATCTACGCAGGTGGGAGACAGAAAGGCAAGAACCAAGTTCAGAGGAGAATGAATTATCTGTATCCAACCCGGAAGAGAATGAGTTCTCGACTATGTCGGATGAAGAGCTCAACAGAAGGGTTGAGGAGTTTATTCGGAGGTTTAACAGACAAATGCGTCTTCAACTTCAAGAGAGTGAGAGACCAGAAGCTTGACAAAAGTAGACAATGAATTGAAGTTAGTTTAGCTAAAATATGGATAGAGACTCTTTTCCCGTTTTTTCTTTCTTTTTTTTTAGCTTTCCTTCTGTTATGTCCACTTTGTGATGGTTTAAATATTTTGAACTCTGAGAGGGAAGTTTTCTTTCTTTCTTTCAAGAGATTTTCAGCTTTTAGTGTTTAAAACTTTCCTATAATCCATCATTTTCCGTATAATCAACTCAATTGCTTCACCCAAGAAATAATTGTTACACCAATACATACATCCCAAGAAAAACTAACAATTCAATTAGAAATTCTTAGAAATAAATATATGCACAAGAAGAAACTGAATTTCCTTTGCCCCCATGAATATCCAACAATGATAATTAATAAGAGAGAATATTTGGTAGTAGCTCTCTATAATCTCACTTGTGGCAAATCAATATGGAGCTCAAAGGAGTCATTTGATAACAGCTGAAGTGGCTGAACTGAAAAGCTTAATTCTTTGTCTTTTAGTAAATACGTTTTTAATGAGGTTGGGGATTCCTTTTTCGTTAGTGAAATTGGGTAGATTATTATATCTTTGAATATTTTATTATTTACTTATTTTACTGATAGAACATTAAGTCTTATTTAGTTCAGCAACTTCAGCCACTGTCAAATTGGCTCTCCCCACCCTTTATTCCCACCAAACAATTTGTCATGTTATGCAAAATATGCCTAATTTTACAGGTAAATTTTATATCAACAATTAAAACCTTGAACCTTTAATATGTGTGAGACATATTAGGCATATGGGTGATATGGTCTGTGGGATTCAATATATAGCCAATCCACTCATGTTGAATTTGGTTGTAAGGCAATTCTCACGGTGAAGAGGCACAAGTTTAAACCATGGTTTTTAAATCATCATTGACCAGGATGATATCAGACCGTTTAACGGGAAACTATCCAGACAACTAGTTTCATTTCACTTTATCTAGTCCTTTGTCAAAATTGTTGATTTGGTCAATGATTTATTGACCTTTCATTAAGTCGGGTGATTGAACCATTAACCCATTCCAAATGGATTTTTAAAACATTAGTTCTAATCATATAATGCTAGACTCTTCATGTTGTGCCAGGGGGCCCTATATACATCCTATCATTAACCTCACCAAACCTCAAATGGGTCTGAAGTACAACACGTGGACCCTGTGAGGATCAACACATCAAATGAATAGTAGGTCCCCCATACGATGAACGGTCTACTTCGGCTCACAAAGGTTGCTCCATGTGGCAGAAAAAGATGGGTTCAATAGCAAGGTGCCAACCAGCTGGGTTACAAGGATTTTGTTTGGACTCGAATTGAATCAAGATTTAAAATTTTGATAGGATTTGTTTGATACGGGGCATATCGTATTGTATATTTAATAAATAGATACTGGATACACGTGAAAATCAAGCGTTTTATCTTTTTTATGTGTATTGGACTTGTACCGGGGATGTATCAATAGCGTATTGAATAATAACTTCAATACAAAATACTTGACATCTTGAAAATCATCAGTACCAAACAGAATAAAAAATCAGCTTACATGGCAGATAATTTTAGAGAGTATCAGTTACTTAGGTGTCACAGTAAGTAACGATTTCGAAGAGTATCAATTACTTGGGTCTCCCTCCCACCTTTCTCTTTACCTGAATAACCTGCATCAGACAGCAACATTGAAAGTTGAAACCTATTAATTTTACGTAAGAAAACACTTGTAGATGAAAAGAAGATGTCTCAATTCTAGAGTCTGAAATCAATTTGTTGCTTTCGGAAGCCATTTTCATGGGTCGAAAAGAAAACTAAAGAAGAAAAGCTTTGCAATGGGCATAGGCTGCATCATTAAATCTGTTACTGTGAAGCAGAAAGAAATAGAGATCTCTCCACCACTAATATAACTGTTCCTGATGGTCTCTCTAAAGTTAACAACACAGGTTCTGAACACGTGGAAGACGAGGCTACAATTGTCAGTCACCGACCCTCAAGGCTAAAGCCACTAGCTTTATAGGTTGAGGTCCTGTTTTATTCTGGTATATATGTTCGGCAGCAATTCTAAGCCACATGCACGCTTGATGCTTTCATCCATGGAACGATGGATGGAAACATCTGGTCATGTGTCACGTGAATCTCACGCGGGTTATGGTCTCTGGCTACGTAGAGAGATTTTTATGTGTTGATCAACAACGCAGACCTTGCTTATTTCACTTTGCAAAGCTTTCGTCTTTCACTTGCAATTGATTATAGCTGTTGAAAGCTATGAGGAAAGGATTTAGCTTTAGTTTTTCCAACTGAGAGAGATAGAGTGAGTCATGGTGGAGGAAGGTGCTAATTCAGAAAAGTCTTTTTGAATAGTCGCAGTTTCAAAAAGTATGAGTAAAGTGGGTTTTATTACGCCACATATGTGCATGGTAGCAAGCCTCCAAACTCTCATCTTATATCTAAAGAGTGTAAATTAGTTTCTATTAAAAAATCTAAAATAAGTTTTGTAATTTTCCAATGTGAGACAAGTTAAAAACTGGTTTTAGTAAAATTGAATTTGGAAGGATTACAAATGTAAATATGTAAAGTGCAAAACCTTATATTTTGTATTATTTTGTATGTATTTACACTGTACATATTTGCATTTGTACTTTTTTCAAACTAAGCCTAAGAGAAAAACTATTTTTTAAAACATGTATGGTGTCTTTTTTATTTTTTTCATGTAATTGACCAATCAAACCCCATTGGTTTTAATCTCTAATGAGATTAAAATCCAACATAACGTAGTGGGCCAAATGGAACTGTGGAGAGCAGAAAGACACATTGACTATGAAACTTCCCTATCTAAACTAATCCTAATTAAAGCTAATCAATTCTTTTTCTTTTGGTAACATAAATAATAATATTCCTGATCAGTACCTTATACTTTGGCTTGAATGACAATTTGGTTATTGAATTTTAAAATGCGATAATCCAGTACTCAAACTTTCAAAACACAAGAATCTAGTACCTAATGTTAACGGACTGTCAGTTATATATATCGTGTGACCTCATATGCGATTTAAGACTTTTAAAAATATCAAGATTATCCTTAGAAATCAAACACACTGTTCATCATCTTTTTTCTCAAAAAGATAAAATAAAGCAAAAATTCTCTGTCACAAACACTAAAACCCTTTTTGCATTAGAATGATCAACAGTCCTCCAAACTTCTCTGCCAACTGAGAATGTCATCGATGAAGATGGCAGCAGTAATGGAAAAAGGGATGCCACACCCAATCACACAGTTAGTTTACAGGAGCGAATGAAGCGTGTTAAGTAACACGAAACAAAAGGTGCCTTATTGGTGCGCCCATCGCCCAGGGCAACGAACAAACGAAGAGTGGTCGACTCGCGTCAGAATCTTGGAAAACAAACATGTCCACCTTTTCTGTTTCGTTCAGTCGGGACAACAAGGATTCATGACCGGTCTCTTCCACTCACCCATTCATGACGATGGCTACATAGGCAATGACCCACGTCTCCCTATTCATCGTTTTGATGCCTTTGCCAATTTTGCTGACAACAAGACCCTTAGGCAGTGTTAGGAATACCACTTAAAGGGCTAATTAACTATAATACTAGATTATCGAAAGTTTAAATATTAGATTACCACATTTTAAAATTCGAAGGCCAAATTATTACTAATCGAGTAATTGATAATTTTTCTTAAAATAAAAAGAATAAATTAAAATTAAGAAAGCGTCGACAGCAGGGTTTGAACCTGCGCGGGCGGAGCCCAACAGATTTCAAGTCTGTCTCCTTAACCACTCGGACATATCGACACCGATCGATTCTATCCTGCCCTGTTTCATAATCAAGGTCATCTCTCTGTAATGATGAGGGTTTTGCTCCGATGAACAGGCATTTATGTATCGTATTTACAAAATTCAAATATTGAATTATCGCATATTAAAATTTGGAGATTAAATTATCACTGATCGGTAATTTTTTCTAAAATAAAAGAATAAATTAAAATTAATTAAAGCGTCGACAGCAGGGTTCGAACCTGCGCGGGCGGAGCCCAACAGATTTCTAGTCTGTCTCCTTAACCACTCGGACATATCGACGGCAACTGATTTTAGTCTGACCGAACGCAGTATCAAGATCTCTCTGTAAATTATTTTATGCTACTATGGTTAAAGTATCAACACATTCAATATAAAACTTTGGTATATCGAGAGTTTACATTGATTGTTGCTCATTTTTTTTTTATAGTTCAATAGAAAAAAAGTGGTTAATTGAAACTTAATATATTCAAATTCTTATGAAATAGAATTTCAATGACCTTAAAATACCAAATATCATGGAACATATCATGTAAATGGTTGAATCTTGATATTGTGTTTGATTTGAAGAAAAAGATAGGGAAAGGAAGGAAAAACAAAGAAACTTATACAAGGTTTGTAAAGGTTTTTTTATCTTTTCCTTCAAACCAAACATAGCTTAAGTCTCTTTTCATTTTTCAAGAACCTATTTTCTCAGATAAATATACTTATTTATGTTTTATTTTTTATTTAATTTATACTGATAAATGTTTTTTGAGCAAACATTTTTTTGTTATCTTTTCATTTTTTTTTTCATTTGTCTTCCACGTAGGAAATTCAATTTACCCAAATCTAAAAAGGGTATTACTTACTCAGATAAATGATACTTGGAAAATCAATTTTGCTATCTCACACGTTTCTGAAATGAGAATATGAATAAATTGACCAAACTTCTCCCCTTCAAAATCCCCAAAACGAACGAGCTTAAATGTTATAACGCAACGGATCAGATTTAATTAATCAAAATCTGACCCAAAACCCAAGTAAAGATAACTATTTATCGGGTTTGTATTGATACTTTAAAGCTTGCTCTGACCTTAATCCAATAGTCAGGTCAATGCAGGATTACCACTTAACCCGATTCACTATATCCTTAGTCATATAAACCTCTTTATTGAGGGATTTCTGCCTGTAGCATTAATTTCTTGGTTTGAAGGCTTTTTTTAGTAATTTGGTTTCAAGGTTTATTTAAGATATAAAACACAAAACTTACAAAACCACATTTTTATTATTAATTTTGTAAACACATTACTTTACCATTTAATTTGA